AAAAAAAAAAAACAAAACAAAAAACCAAAAACAAAAAAAAACTTGTACTCTCTGCTAAAAATATTCTCGACTGACTGCAAGAAGGAGGTTTCAGCCATGTAAACTCATTAAATGTTTACAGTTATTTTGAAAGTAAGCAAACAAATATTTTTCTTTTTTAAAAAAAGTTATATCTGTAGGATAAAAAGTGGAAGTAAGAATATTCATGTTCAGGAGTCTGAAGCCGGCTGTCACAGAGAATGTTATGAGGACAGTGACTTAAAATGTCAAAAGCCTCAAAGGATCTAACAAATCTGGCAGGTTGGCTGGGCACGGTGGCTCACACCTGTAACCCCAGGACTTTGGGAGGCCGAGGTGGGTGGATCACCTGAGGTCAGGAGTTCAACACTAGCCTGGCCAACATGGCAAAACCCCGTCTCTCCTAAAAATACAAAAATAAGCTGGGCATGGTGGTGCCTACCTGTAATCCCAGCTACTAGTGGGGCTGAGGCAGGAGGATTGCTCGAACCTGGAAAGTGGAGGTTGCAGTGAGCCGAGATCATGCCACCGCACTCCAGCCTGGGCAACAGAGCAAGACTCCGTCTCAGGAAAAAAAAAAAAATCTAGCAGGTCAATCTTGTCACTACAGTCTTCTGCTTTACCACCACACAAATCTTTAGTCAACAACATTAAAGACACTTGATATAAATCAGCATGTGTATATATAGATATATACATATAGATTATTGTAAAAATAGGCTTACCTCTGACCTATCGAACTAACTTTTTTTTTTAAGGTTCAAGATTTCTACCATAATAAAAGAACCACAAGCAGCTAAGGGTGTTATTACAGAAACTGAACAAATATATATATATATATATACATCTGTTCTTAGATACCAGACAAAGAAAACCTAGAAAAGACAGGAAAGGTACACATATAAATAAGAAATATAAACTTTATTTTTGGAAGATTGTAGAATATTAAAAAGCATGTTTTGGTGTTAAAAAACAAAGTTATAGCTGGGAGTGGTGGCTCATGCCTATAATCCCAGCGTTTTGGGAGGCCGAGGCAGGTGGACTACCTGAGGTCAGGAGTTCAAGACCAGCCTGGCCAACATGGTGAAACCCCATCTCTACT